TATGCGAAACTTTCTATATAAAATGGAGAAAGCAGGGAGCCGTTCCCACCAACCCACCCGCACGGATCGGGAGCTCCCCCGTCTTGCACCGCTCCCACTTCCCAGCGGTGCCGGCACTCCGGGGATCCCGCAGCTGCGTGTGGGACCCAGCCCTTGGGTTCAGCGCCGCCAGCGTGGCCTCAGACAGGCACACAGGATGAAGGAAGGGCTCCTCATCCCATCCCCTGTGTCCCTGACCATTGTGTTGCAGGATCTCAGCCTCCCAGATGAACTCAACCTCCAGGGCTGGGGTGAAGCTCTGCCCGCAGCCTGCCAGGGCAGCACCGATGGAGAACTGGGCTCCTCTCGGCTGCTTCTGGCAAAGCAAAGCAAAGCAAACGCTTCCCAGATGCTGGGATGCAAAAGGTGTCAGAGGAGCACGTGGAGAGCTCAGGGCAGGAGGGCCGCAGGGCAGAGACGTGAGCAGAACAAGCTCTGCCAACACTGCGATGCACATCAAACACCAGCCTGCCTCACACCTTCCCCCACCGCCCCTGTGAAACGCTGCCTTTTTTTTTTTTTTTTTTTAATATTGTGGAATTAGAAGTCTGATTGATATGAATATGTAACAACACCGCTTTATTAATAGCAGCTGCATTATCAGTGAGCTCCCTGCTATTGGCAGGAGATCTGGGACAATCTGTGGTTTGAAAACTAAAGAGAAACGCAACCCGCAAAGGCAGCAGCAGCAGCGAGATAATTTCATTCCTTTTCACGGTGAGCTGGCCAGGACATCACGAGCGCAGTGCTCGCCGAGACATTGCAATAGCTCTGCCTGCCCAGCTGCGGGAGCAGGCGCTGGAGCTGCTCCACGGCGCGCGCCTCGAGCCCCCCACAGTGGGGGCTGCGGCCCCAGCCCGGGCAGGAGAAGCCCCTCGGGGCCGGGAGCCCCCCAGCCAGCCGCAACCCCTGCAAATTGAGGTCGCTCCGGACAGAGCACCACGCAAATCTCCCTGACACGGGTAATAAACTCCCTTCGCAGTTTGCTTCCCTGCCTCCCCCCCTCCATCAGCCTGGAGGCTTAAATGAAAACAAGATTACAAAGGAGATTGGATTGGACATATTTCTGGTGTGCTATTTTAGCTGTAAATTATGCCAGCTTCATAAAACCCCAACTGTTCTTCCCCAAGATCCCTGCGTAGATTGGCTTGCCGAGATCAGGCGGACTGGGCGCTCGCTGCGGGCAGACATTGTCTGGAAAAACGCTGAAGGGGTCCAAGCGTTACCGAGATGCCATGGTGCTACGTGTATGTATGGAAATACACACATGCACAAAGGCACGGCAGCACCCAAGAACTTCCCATGGCTGCTGATTAACTGAACAGTGACAAGCACACGCAGGTTTTCCCAAACCCAAGCCGTTGGTGATCCGGCCCCTACAGATCCCCCGTGGCAGCTCAGCTGATGCTCGTCCCAGCCTCTGCTGCCACTGCGAGGCTGGGCGCGAGGTTTGGGGCCAGGAGCCCTGTGCACGGTGGCGCACACGTGCCGAGGGCAGCCAGGCTCGCTGCGGGCAGGGCTCGGCAGCAGGCTCTGCAGCACCAAGGCAAAACGGCCACAGCGTGAAGTTTGCTCCAGCAAAACTGGCGAGAGCTTTTGCAATTCGTCTCACGAGCAGCACTGCACCTTGGCTGTGCTCCACGACCCTGGAGGACAGCGGCGCTGCCCGAGCACACGGTGCTGCTTTGGGGCGAGCCTAGAGGCGCTGCCCGGAGCTAAAAGGACAACAGCTTGGGCCACGAGACGGCCCCTGGCCCTGCTCCTGCCAGCACCAGCCTCCCCCGGGTGCTGCAGCCACACCGCCAGGAGCAGGAGATGCCGAGGTCCCAGACCCGCCCCAGCTACTGAACCAGAGAAGCGGGGCTCTCAGGTGGGGCCGTAGGGGTGCACGCGGGGCCAGGAGCACCCAAACCACCCCCACATGGTGGGACTGCCCGCAGCCAGTCCCTCCCAACACCAAGCCCAGCTGGGGGCAACCCGGCTCTGCATCCCCTGCTCCTGCCCCTTCTCCCGTGGCACAGCGACAGCACCCGGTGCAGGCAGCCAGGGAATGGGACCCAGAGGCAGTGCCACCGCTCTGCGGCTGGAAGCGCTCTGCCACCTCCCAGGGACAAGAGGCACAGGGAAGCCCAGGGAGATGCCACAGGTGAAGCCCCCACAGGCCGGTTCCCGTTACCTGGAGGCTCAGGAGCACCGGCACGCTTTGCCTTTCCCAGCAGCAGACGGGCAGCGAGCTGTCTCCCCGCGATACTCCCACGGCTCCACCTGCTCGGAGCCCAGCCAGGTCCCACGGCGCTTCCCGCACGCGTCGGCTCACAGCCCCAGCCAAGGGCTCCAGGAGCAGCCCAAATTGGCCCCCCTCTGGGGGTCAGGTGCACCCCACCTCGCTTATCCTCCTCTAACTGGCCCCTCTGGGCGATGCTCCAGCACGGGCTTAGCTCTGCACATCTGTCCCAGTGTCCCCACACAGAGACCCCTGCAGGGTCAGGGACCTTTCAGGACACCGTGCAAGTTGTGGGAAGACCCCTTCACAAGGAGGGAGACAGCACTGGAAGAGCAGGAAAAAGGCTCAAGACTGGGCAAGACAGTGGATGGATGCGTAAGGGTTTGTACCCAAAGACCCCTGGGGACCCCACTGTGCTCTCCGGCAGAGAGCTGCGTCTCCATCGGGCGGGCACACGTGTGACCCCACCTGTGAGGAGCAGCCTCGTGCAGCCCGCTCCGTGCCTTTCCCCACCAGGACCTGGCACGGGGCTTGTCTGCACGTGTACATATCTATCAATACAAAACCAGGCTTCCTGAGCAATCAATAATGCTATTTAAGAGATAAATCTCGCTATTGACTGGCTGCTGAGGCCAGCTCCTGATTAATTTAAAAGAGACAGAGAACAGCGAGCAGCTCAGAAATGTTCCCAGCCTCGCTGGGCACCAATCCTGCAGCTCTCCTGCCCTCCTGCTGCTGCAGGCTCTGAGCCACCACCCGCACGAGCTCCTCCTGGGGTGTCCCAGCACCCCTCTTCGTTCCCAGACCCCCTCCCCATCCCCACAGCCAGCTGCTGAGCCCCAGGGCTCTGCGCCCTGCTCCACGCAGGCTGGAGGCTCTGTGAGGCAGCAACCTACTTTGTTCTGACAAAAACGCTTGTTCACCACAGAAACGCGGCGCCCGTGGGTTGGAGCTGCCCTGGCGAACAACACTTAACTCACAGGTCCGAATCCGGAGCGCTCTGCTGCCGATTGCCGCGGGCATGGGGAAGGACCGGCGTTGGCGGCGTGCTGCGAGCACGAGGCAGAGCTGAGGGCTCGAGGCTTTGTCCCTCGGTGCCAGCGAGCAGCTGCTGAGCACGCGGCAAAAGCGTCCTCCAGGTACCACGGGCTGGGATGTGAGGCAGGAGCAGAGCCGTGAGCGGGTCCCACAGCCCAGCTCGCCCCTCCCCAGCACGCAGGTGGGCTGGCAGCGTGGCAGGGGATGGAGCAACACGCTGAAAACGTGTGTGCAGACTGTGCCCTGCCTCCAGGCTGCCTGCTGCTCTGGGATTTCTCCCATGCTAGGCTGGACCTGATGCTTTGAGGCTTCAGTTTGAGCACACCGCTGCTCACTGCAGGGATAAAGCCTCCCTCCTGCCTTGGGAAGCTTGAGGCCAACGGGCCCTCGTCCAGGCTAATTTTGAGGGGGGCACCTCTCCCCTCCCCAGCCTCATCTCCAGCAAGAGGGAGACAGGGACCAAACCTGATCCAGTTCCAGCTGCACCCCCTGCGGGTCCTCCCTCACTCGCCAGCATCCTGGGCAGGGGGTGGCCCGGGGCACAGCGGGGCTGCCAGACCCGGCCAGCACGGTGAGGGGGTCATTCCCGCTCCCTTCTTTAGGGATAAAAACATAAAGCACAGGGTTTTGGTGGCTGCTCAGGCGCAGTGTGGAACTCCTTGCCGCAGGATGGCAGCTAGCACTCGGTGTCCCTTGGGCCCGATCCAGCACCGCTCTTGGCCTCAGAGCAGACTCGTGCCCAGCGAGGCTCTCACACATGACAAGCCACGGCTCAGCCCCTCTGGTGAGGAGCAGCTTCTCTCTCCTCCACCCTTCTCTTGCAGACAGGGGGAAACTGAGGCATGGGGAGGTGAAAGGCGGCACAGGGCTCGCTGCTTGTCATGAGAGAGGAGGAAGATGCAAAGATTTTCCCATTGCTCTTGCCCTGCAGCCCCCTTTGGAGGGAGCCACGTCTCTCCGCCAGTCCTGCTGCCGACAAAGAGGAAAACTCATCCCATCCCAATTGCTCTAGAGCTAAGAAACGAGGAAAAAAAAAACACAAACAAGCCCTGAGCCAGGAGCCAAGCGCTTCCCCTCCCTTCTTTCAGCTCGGTGGGGTGCAACCCATTACAACCACGTCCACAACACTGGAATAACACGGAGGGCACCGGCACCCAGGGGCGCACCAAGGTGACCCAGCAGCAGCGGCACAGCTCCTGCTGTGCACCCCACTCCCTCCTGCCTTGCCTGGGGTGGGCAAAGCCATCTCAGCAGGGCTGGGTGAGAGCGGCACTCAGCAGCACGGCCCCATCCAGCCCCCACAGCCCCAATTCCTCACCCCACAGCATCAGCCAGGCGGGTGCCACCTGCAGAGCCACCACAGCTGCAGGAGGGGGACAAACCCTGGCTGCTCCTCCGGGTGCCGCGGGACACCACGGTGCTCCCGTGCCCTGATTCCCACCCGGGGGGGGGCAGAGCCTTGCTCCAGCAGCTCGGCGGCTTTCGGGCACCCAGCGCGGGGGCTGTGCACCCTGCGGGAGCGGGCGGCCTCCCCGCCGTGCGCCCGGAGCGGTGCAGAGGAGCGGGGCGCAGCTCGCCCCCGACGGCTGCTCCCGACGGCAGCGCCCCGGGAAGGGGGAGCCCCGGGCACGGCTCGGCACCGGGCACGGCCCCGGCGCTCCCCGACCACCAACCGCGCCTCCACCCCCTCGGGGCTCACCTGGGCTCCGGCCGCTCTCCCTCCGTTACCAGCGGGGCCTGAGGCGGGCGGCGCGGCGGGCGGGCAGGGCCGGGTCCCCGCTGGCCGCCGCCGCCGCCGCCGCCCCCCCCATGGCTCCTGGCCGCCGCCCGGTGCCCGGTTGCCGCAGCGCCCAGCCCGCCGGCTTTCAGCAGCGGCCGAGCGGCCCCGGCTCAGCGAGCAGCCGGGACCGGCCGCCCCCGGCCCGCCATAGCCGCCGGGGCTCCCCGCTCCCTCCGGCCGGCGGCGGCGGTCCCGGTGCCGGAGCCGGTCCCGGTGCCAGGTGCGGCGGCGGCACCGGGCGCTGTGCGCGGCTCTGCGGGGCGAGCGGCGGCGGCGCGGAGCGGGGCGGAGCCGGGGGCGGGGGCGCGGAGCCCCGCCGGGACCGCTCCCCCCCCGCCGGGGCCGCTGCCCCGACGGCTGAGCACGGGGAGGGGGCGTCCCGGGGAGCCCCGGGGTTGTCGGGCTGCGTCCCCCCCCCCCTTCACCGGAGGAGATCCCCGAGGGCAGCCTCGCCCCGTGCCCCACGGTGCCGGGCACACCGCGTCCCCCTTCCCTGCCCTCTGCCCTCCCCCGCGGGCAGCACAGCCCCTGGGGATCCCTCTGCAGCCCCGCAGCCTTCTCCTCGGTCACTATTTTTTATTCTGGGGGCCTGCCCAGGCGATGCACGGCACGCTGATGCCGTCACCTTGCTGCTCCCCAGCCTCCTCTCGGAGCGCTCTGGGTTTCCTGCGCTCCCATCCATAGGTAACTCCATGGTAACCTCCCTCTGCTCTGCCAAAGAAAACCAAACTAACAAAAGCTCTTAAGGAAACTGTGTTATCTAAGCACGAGAGGAGGTTTGTGTGTGCTTCTTATTAAAAGACTGGGAAACGAGGGCTGGGTTACCATGGATTTGGGGAACTCGAGTACACTATTAGCTGGTTAACAGCCACAAGAAATAATGCTAACAGATCTGCAAACCACAAATCCTCCCTTGAAAAGCCGACTTACTCCCATTCGAGCATTTCCCAGTCTCCTACTTCTGGTCTTTGTCAGGGCCTCATGCGATTTATGTGCTCTGTACAGAAGTTGAACCTGCCTGTGGCTTCTTGGCTCTCACCTCTCACAAAAGCTGCGCGCACTCTTGCTGCCTGCCATTTGTGTGCCACGCGTGCTCACGGAAGCAGCAAGTCACCCACCCCACCAGTAGCCCACTGGCTCCTTGCTGTGCTTCAGAGCCCTCGGATAAATCCTGCCTGCTCCTGGCAACCCGGTGCTCTCCATTTTTATCAACGCTTCCCAAAGGTCTCTTTGGACGTTTCAGCTCTTTGGCTGTACCTGCCGTAGGACAGGGGGCAGTCTGAGTTTTCCTACGTGCTTCATGGCAAGCTCTGATGTAAACAGATTCATTTTGTTTTTATGCAATGCCGTTTTTTTTCTTTTTTTTTCCCAGCCACAGAATCACAAGAAGCCAGCAGAGCACTGGCTAGCTTTCCTCTAGCAATGTTGGAATAGCTTTCTTTACAAGCTTCTCTGCTTTCTATATGTACCACCTTAAAGCTTGTCTGTCCCAGGGGGCTGCATTTACCTCACTGAAATCCGTGTCCTCTCCTCCCTGCCTTGTTTGAACACAACTCGCACCTTGGGAAGGCTCTGCCTTTACCCAGCTATTTTAAACCTGTTGCAATTTTTGGCTCTTTACAGATACAACTGCGAAAAGAACTTGAAAAATATTTTCAGAATGAAGATCGAAAAGATACAGCAAAGCTGAAACCTTTTCCTTGATTGAACATCAGGATCTATTCCATAAGAACACATGCAGCTCCCTGCACATGCAGGCAGCCCTCTCACAGCACCAGCTCCCCGCTGCAGAGCATTAGGGTGCACGCTTCCACACCCCTTTCACCTGTTTTTCATTCTTCCAGCTCTGGATGCTGCTATAAAGCCTGCTACAAGCACTAGCTGAGTGCCCTGGAGATCAGCGCTGAGAGTTTTACTCTTTCGGCTGCTGCCTAGGCTCAGTTGCCTTGTTTTTGCATGGCTTATTTTCTGGGAGGCTGCTCTGCAGGCACCCCTCCTGCAGAAGAGGTGGAAAACTTCCTCTGGTGCCTCTGGCCGGTTGCTCCGGGGCGATGTTCTCTGCCCCCTTCATACATTTTGAGGCACGTGGCCGGATGCTGCTAATTCACAGACCCTCTCCTGATGTGACACTGAGAACAACGCACACGCTGCCAGCCTGCAAGTTCTTCCCCCAGGCCTCCCCGTGTCAGGAGGGACACGCTCCTTTCCCACGTTCCCTTTGCGAGCAGCAGGTGGGAATGCAGGGAGATGCAGGACAGCCCGGGGCTGGCTTTCTGGCAGCAGCTGGCTCGAGGTTGCCCAGCAGGATGTGCCTGGTGGCCACTGGCACCAGCTCCCCGTGTGCCGGCAGGCACAGTACCTTGAAGATGACGCCAGCACGTGGCAGGGATGCGTCAGGGATCCGACATGCACAAACACCGCCCAGACAGCTGGTGCTGCAAGAGCACGGGCCCTAAATGGCCCTGGTACTGCCTCACTGCCCCGGGAGCAGATGAGGACAGGAGGTGGGGAGAACAGCAAGCATCACCCTTGTGCAAGGGGTCGGAGCTGCGCGCACCTGGGCTTTCTCCCTCCAAGAGAAGCAGAGCAGCCCCCTCCTACTCCGTCCCTCCAGATGGCTCCAAGCCAGAGCGAGTAGGAGAAATCACGACTACCTGATGGCTGCTTGGCAGTTGTCATGAAACAAGCCTGGCGCTTGTCAAGCCAAATCCTCGTCGCCTGGGTAGAGCTGCGCTGTCACGACATGGCAGGGCTCGGTGCACATCCCAGCCCCAGACGCGCTGCCCTGGAGCCACCTCGCGCTGCAGGACAGAAGCGTGGCCGCAGGGCAGCACCTGTGAGCTGCACCCACCCGCTCTGCTCCCTGTCCCAGGAGATGCAGGTGACACTTGTGGTGGCTCCCTAGATCCGTGCCAAAACTGCGTGGCAGCCACTGGTGGTGATGCTCTGCCTGCTGCAGAGCCCCCAGACCCCACACAAGTGAGCGGGGTGCTTCTCCCTGAGCCGGGCTTGCTCTGCAGAGACCCAGCCAAGCCCTCTGGGCTGGATTTGGGGGATTCGCTCGGCCTCGCAGCACAGGGAGGGCTCAGCAGGAAGGCAGAGCGCTGTTGGGGTGAGGGCTCAAAGCCCCTCCTGCCAGGCGTCGTGGGAAGGCTGTTGTGGAATAAACATCCCATTAAGGCAGGGAAAAATAAAATTAGCTTGCCGAGCCCAGTGGGGTGGGAAGCAAACAGCTCCATCAGCGCCTGGGAGCGAGCAGTTTATGTAAGCAACAGGCTCACCAGCCGCGGGGAGGGCAGAGCGCAGGGGAGACCGGCGCCTCTTCCTGAGGGGTTGTCCCCTGCCAGCAGGGCACCCCAGGGCCTGCAGTGATTTCGGGGGACCTTTAGGGATGCTCCTCCATGGGGGATGCCAAGGGGAGCTGCAGGCACAGCACCACCAATTTCAAGGCGAGGAGGCTTCTGCCTGTGCCTCATCCCTGTGATCTGCTTGGGGACACCCCAGGCAGTGAGGGTGGGAGGCTTTCAAGTCCCCCGCCTTTGGGGACCTGGGACATGTACAGGGACGAGCTGCAGGGACTCATGAGGCAGGGTGGCTGCTGCAGGGTCAGGGGGTGCCTGGTAGCAGCTTCTGCCCCGCTCAGAGGAGTGGGGTCCTGGGGAGGAACATCCACCAGCAGCCACGGCACGGGGCCACCAGCCTCCGTGCCACCATTCTCCTGCCTCCCTAAAGCCCCTCTTCTGTAACGCCTCCCTCAGCCCAGCCTGTTCCTCCTCGGTCCCCAAAGGCCTCAATTAACCACGTAATTAGGAATGCATTGCAATTACAGCAAAACAAGCCTTCAAGCTGCAAAAAGAGCATTCCTCACACGGCAAGATCAGCACAAGTTTGCACGCCCGCAGGAGCTCGCCGGAGGCAAAGCCCCACGTTAGCAGCAGAAGTTGGGTGACCTTGCCCATACAGAGTTATCCTCCTTTCACCCAGGGCTGTAGCTCATCCAGGGGAGAGCTGCTGCCCCACGAATTGCACCTGGCCTCACGTTGTTCCTCACGGGGAGCCTGCTGCAGGGCTCTGGGGACAGGGCAGTGGGTGCTCCTGGCCATAACAGCAGCGTGTGCGATTCTGGCGGGGTGTATGCAGGAGATGTAAGCCTGGTGCTCTTCTCTGGGAGCTGTTCTGGTCCAGGCAGCCTGGGACAGCTCTGGATCCACACCTCGCACTCTGCCCAGCGCAGGGATGCTGCAGTCACTCAGGTCTGGGTTAAAGGAAGAGCAGAAACCCAGCAGTTTGGCAGGTACCAAGGACTCCCAGTGTCTGATGGACTCACCTCTCAGCCCTGAGATCAACCTTCCTTGAAGGTACCGGTCTCGAGGGAAGACCCTTTGGGAGGGAACGCTCATCTGGGGTCATTAAACTTACAGAGCAGATTTTTTTTCTCCCTTCCACCCAGCTGCTGACTTCCAAACTTCCAAGGAACCCGTTGGATGTTATCCTTGGGGGTCTCACATTCAAGCCCAGCCCCTGCAGGGACACAGCACCCAGGGACTGGCACCTCCACGGTGCTCCCATGGGTGCTGTCCCACCAGGAGGATCAGTGAGGGATGGTGGCCACGAGCAGCAGCAGGGACACGGCAGAGCTCTGCGGCTCCCTGCCTGGCTGGATTGGTCCATCTGCACAGAGCAGTCATCCCGCTCGGCCCCTCTCAAAGCCAGCAGCATAACGCCTTTGCTAATTGGACCTGTTGCCATGGCTTTTTTTTCCTTTTTTTTTTTTTCTTTTACTTCCAGGCTGCAGTAGGAGCATGCTGGGGTTATCAGAGCCCTGCCAGGTGCTCTCATCCATGCCAGGATGGCAGGACCTCGGAGCAGCTTGAAGATGCCCCATCACACACCTCCCCGGGAGCAGAGCCCACCACGGCCCCATCCCTGCTCTTCCCAGCCTTGCCCCTTCCTCGCTTCTTTTTTTTCCTCCCCCACTTTCTCCCCGCTGTTCAACTAGTGGCGGAGCAGAAGAGGCTGGATCTGGAAGAGGGAATACACAAGGATTTGGCCAGGGAAAGGAGATGGAGGCATTTGCTAGAGAGCAGCTGACAGCTTGCGGAGAGCAGGCAGAGCTGGCTCCGGCGGAGCTGTGGTAATTAGAGTCTGTTTGCACTCACTCTCTCCATTTAGCACCAGAGGTTTCCATACTCGAAAGCAACCCTGCTACTGCTCCTGCCAGCCTGCGGGTCCCCACAGCTCCCTGATTTGCAGCTCTGCCACCTCCCTGCTGCCCCCAGGGCACCCGTGGGGCCGGGCTGCATCCCCCCAGCACCCACCATGGTCCGACCAGGAGCAGGGCAGCACGGAGCTGGACAAATGCTGCCCAAATGCTCGCTCAGCAGCAGTTTCCCTCCGTGAGGCTGGCCGGGAGCATCACCTGCTCCTGTGCCCTGTGGCTGAGGGAGCTGGCAGTGCCATTACACCTCCTGCTCTGCATCCCCAGCTCCCCGTACAAACCCTGCTGCCTGTGGATATTTTTAGCTCCTGGGAACTCTGATCCTTTCTTTAATGGCACACATGTGCCCTGAAATATGCATAGGCAGCTCTGCCAGCTGTGGTGCCACACAGGGAGCCGCTGGGCAATGCCTCCTTCAGGGCACGGGGTCCTGGCGCAGCGAGCACCCCCAGGCAGGGACCCCATGGGCCACAGAGGCATCATTTTGCCCCCCCTTTACATGGGCTACAGCCCTGCTGGGTCTCTGCTGCCAGCTGTCTCCAACACGCTCCTGCTGCAGGGGGCATCTCCCCTGGGATGGAGGGGTCAGACCGCTCCTGTGCCCCCCCCCAGCCTGGGGACATCCTAGAGGGGCTCTGATGTGGGGTAACAGCAGCACCCCAGGGCGCAGCAGGCTGAGGTGCCTCCACCAGCACACCCTGGGGGTGCAAAGCCTTCGTAACATCCATTAACGGGTGCTGCAGGAGCAGAGGGCAGGAGGCAGCATCACGCTATGGCCCCCAGCATCCCACCTACATCTCCACCTGCCATCCCTCAGCAAGCAGGAGCCCCCACACTGCAGCTCCTCCTTCCCCAGCACGATACCTCAGGGATTCAGGAGGATTTGGGAACCTCACACCCAGTGGCTTTAACATACCTGAGCACAGGGCACCTCCCTGGGGGCCTCTGGCTGCTCAGCAGCACCAGGGAGGAGAAGGGAAGAAGGGAAAAAAGCAGCCTTTTTATTTGAAGCACCTAAATTAGGAGGTGGGAGTCTAATTTTAGGCACCTGGCATTGCCTTTCAGAGTGATGAATTAAGCTCTGCGAGGGCTTGGGTGTGTGTTGCTCTTGTCTTAATGCTATGGGAGGGAGAGCATGCCTTTGGGGCTGGCTCCAGCACCCCTCGTGCCCCAGGACAAGCACCCGGTGGGGATCAGCCCTGGCTGTTATCAGGGCCACCAGAACCGCTCACACGTGCTGTGCAGAACCACCAGCCCCAAATATGAAGTTTACAGCCCGTTGTGTGGCTGAGCACTGAGGGCTGTGACACTCCCAGAGCTCGTCACAGGGCTCGGAAGGGGCTGGGGGCTCTGCTGTGACCCCCAGGAGCAGCTCTGCTGCCCGTCATGGCAAAGAGGACCCTGATATTGCCCATGGCCACCCCAGGCAGGACAAGGAGCTTGAAATCATCTCGTGGCTCAGCAGAAAGATAAATCGAGAGCAAAGCACCGGGCTGGCAGATTGCTGCTGGGCAATTGCCCCTCGGAGGACACCTCTGCAGCTCTGCCGGCTCGCCGGTCTCGTTTGAGATCTTTCAGGCATCGTAATAAAGTGAAACCTTATTTACCGCCCTCAGCCTGCCTTGCTAAAGTGGCCGTGGGCACACAGCAGACCTCTTTCCTTCGGTACTAACAAGAACGTCTGAACGCAGCACAAATCAACCCCAAATAAACGCAGGCACCGGGGGAAGCCAGGGCAGGGATGGGGCTGGGCGGGGGGCACAGCAGGGGCTGGGGCTCAGGATGGAGAAGGGCTGGGGGGGCTGCAGGTGTCAGACGCTGCTGGGGGCGATGGCACACGTAGCTGTGCTTTAAAAGGCCCCAGGAACACGGGGTGAAGGGCAGTGGATGGGTCTGGATGCTGCAAAGCCCCGGCTGGATGCTGCGCACCCAGGCGCTGGGCTCCGGCCGGGGGCAGAGCTCCATAAAGATGAAATACGTACTGCGGAGGGCCGTGGTATTGACTAGAAGGCACCGAAGCAGAGCAAGAGCCACAAACTTCAATTTTCCTCCCCCGGGCTCTGCCCTAGGCTCATGGGGACAGAGCTGGGGCAGGAGCTGGGGGCTGCCAGAGCTCTGCCAGGGGGGCACGGGGCATCCTGAGGTGTCGGGGGGGCGCCCACCCTGCTGGAGCTGCCTCCTGCTACAGCGCCTCGAGCCCTTGGACGTGTCTTTGCCCTCAGGGTGGCTGTTGATGTTTCCATGTGGGCTTTCTGGCTTGGTGCCTGCCTGCCAGGCTCTGCTGGGTGCTCTGCTCCCAGTGAGGGCCCCGTGTGAGTGGCCGGGGTGATGTCGCCCTGCAGAACCCCACAGCACTGCTGTCTTGAGAAGAAAAATGAGCAAAAAACGTTCAGGATCCTAAGAACGCTCCCAGACTCCGCTGGAAACACTTCCACGATAGTTGGAGATTTGATGCAAACCAGGCCCCACCGGCTTCTGTAGCACAGAGGAGACTCGCTCTGAAAGCCAGAGCTGATTCACAGCAGCAGGGATGGCCATTTGGTTAGGAAAGCTTAAAAACCTCCGGAACTTCCAGCTCCTGTTGCATCTAACGAGGTTACGAGCTCTGCAGCAACCCGCCTGTCCAGGAGAAACCGTGTATTTATGACGCTGCCTCTCTGGTACCGCTGTCCAAACAACCACAAATCCACGGCCAGGGGAAGCGCGGTGGCAAAATGAAATACGATTTCGCCAGGCCCCGGCTTCGCAGTCGGCTTGGAGGGGAGGAGCAGCAGGCACTGTCCAGCTCCCGACGCGGGCAGCGCAGCCACCAAATTCCCCCAGAGCGAGCCCAGCGCCTGTCTGCGGCCCTCCTCACTTTAATCTATGTTGCAATGAATTAAACATGTTTTAATATCAAAAATGAAAGATCAAGGATCAGCGGTAATAAATCCTCCACACTCATTTTCCGTATTAAGCCGGTGTGTACCCAGGCAAGCACAATAATTAGAGTCAGGCCGTGATTTATTTGGGGGAAGGAACTGACGGCATTCGGATATTGAATTCTCATTCCTGGCGTGCGCTCGCACTCCGGTTCCCTGCCTGTGCTGTAAATCCCTCCACAGCGGGGACGCTGCAGGAGTGGAAGTGCTGGTGGCAGCTGGACGTGTGGGACACGGCTGGGGACAGGGGTGGCCTTTGCCTGCCCCAGGAGGACGGCTTCCACGTTGCATAGCTGGAGCCCAGGAGAGGCTCTGGCCGGAGCCCGCAGCTCGGGGCTGGGGTCATTCATGCCCCAGTGCTTTCACAAGGAGCACCTCCATCCCTGCTCTTGGCACAGGGGCTGTCCCCTGGGCTGAGGACACCGTCTGGGCCACACCAACCCTGTCCCCAATCTGAGCATCACCCCCAGCCCCAGGGCCGGAGCGGTTTCCTCAGGCTCCAGCTCCACCAGCAGAGCCAGTGGCAGGCATCTGCATGTCAGGCAGGCACTGCGGAGCCGAAGCCATGGTTACACACCTCTTTCTATTCTAAGCAGCCATTTTCGGAGTTGTTTATAACTTTTCCCTGTCTTTTCACCTTTTTGGTGTTTTTTTTTTTTCTCTGCACGGGTGTGAATTTTTGCCGGCGGTTGGAGCCAATCTGCAAGCTGGAGGAGCTGGCTCTGGCTGGGGCGGTGCAGCTGCAGCTCGTTCTCCCAAACCTCTCCAGCACAGCAGCATCGGGGCCGTGTAACAGCTGATCCTCGGGCAGCAGGTGTGCTCTCAGGCAGGCTGCTGGAAATCAGCTCGTTCCCCAGCATGGATGAGGCGGTGGGCTTGAAAATGTACGGAGAGGAAGGGACCTTCAGCTGTGTCTTCAAACATCTGGGGGCTTTGAGCCAGAGATGCTGTGGCTCGGGGGCTGCCCCAACCCTTAGCAGCTAGAACAGCACATGAGGGAATTCGTAGATGCCTTTGAATTTTCCCCAGGAGGCACAAACCCTGAAGGTTGTGCAGGCTTTTTCCTCTTTAACAGAGGCAAAAAGGGGGAAATGGGCAACTATCCAAAGGCTGTGAAAGCACAAGGGCAGTCACTTTCCCAAATGGATCAGGGCTTCTACCACAACGATCCCACCTGTGTGAAACTCTGTGGGTCTTCCCCATCTCACCATGTGTGTCTCGTGATGTTTGTTCCTTCCTTCAGAATTCAGCCCCTGAAACCAGAGACCGGCATGAAGAACTGTATTTTTAACATATTCTCTACAGATTAAATTTCAAGATCTTATAAATACCCGGGGAGGCTCGGGGATGGACACCTAGAAGCGGAGGATAGGAATCCAAGAGCTGGTATTTAAAAACGAACAAGCGGTGGTTTTCACGTCGATCCCGTGGTATTTAGCAGTCCGGATCCTGGAGCAGGGCCGCCTGCTGCCGCAGCGGGCAGCGCCTGGCGCCGTGGGCGCACTGGCACTGCTGCCAAAACCCCGCTCAGGCACAGGGAGAAACCTCCTGGGGCTGTCCAAGGAAAGAGTCTTCCTCAAGGGTTAAAAATTCTCAGTAATTCCCCTGACTCCAGGAGCTGGGGTTTATTCTGCGGCTCGACACCACAAATGCCTCCAGTGCTGGCAAAGGTGAGCATAACTCTTAAATGTCCTGCCACGAAGCCACAGCCTCCTTCGGTTCGTCCTGGTAGAGCCAGGACACTGCTAGGAGCCCGAAACAGCAGGGGAGCAGCGTGGAGAAGGAAGAGGAGCGCATTATTTTTAGCTGCGACGCATTTGTGCTTTCCTCTTTTACGGAGCCGGGCTGAAAGGAGTGAGAACAGACTGTGGCATTGAATTCCTGATCTGACACTCCAGAATGATTGCCATCAGAATAGCAGCTCGCTGCAGACCTTACACAACCCACGGGTGGGGGTCTCTCAGGCAGGGAGGAGGCAAAGTCCTGGCCAGGAGCTGGCCGGGGCTGCCCTGTTCGGAGCAGCCGTGGTGCTGGGCTGGGAGCAGCTCCAAGCCTGGTGCTCTCCGTGCTGACAGGGATGGAAATGCCTTTTGATGTTCCCTTTGAATCACTCCTCTCTCTTCCTTCTCGTCCCCAGGGTATTTCATTGGGCTTCTTAATAAAGCCGGAGGGGGGCGAAGGGGGAAAACTTCTTTGAGCATATTGTAAATGAGCAGAATCTTATCATCTGCCTGCTTCCTTTTTAGATTTACACCCTAATCTTATTTACGGGCTGAATACCGAGAGCTAATCAGTAGGTGATCGATAGCTGAGAGGCACCATTTCAGATCAATCTGCTCACAGGCGTGTGTGCATGGAGGCTGCTTTTTGGCTGGAAAGGTGCTGGGAGAGAGCCCAGCACGGCCCCTCCATGCGCAGGGAGCCAGCTGGGGGTGGGATGCAGCCAAAGCACACCCAAAGGGTCCCCTTCGCTCACAGCCACCCCACCAGGTCTCCTCCTCTCCTCCGGCCAGACCAGGAGCAGCGCTCCCCAAGCACCACGTGCTGCTGCGGAGCCAGGAGCAGGTGCCCAAAATCCCCCTTGCAGCTTGGGCACGTGCTCGGGAAGGTGCCAGCCCCTGCCTGCTGCTAATTAGCACGGCCGCTGTCTCCTGGGACTGCCGGTCTGATTGTTTCTTGCTGCTCTTTCCTTCTCGTTCAGCTTTGCCTTTAATTTACCTGAGAATGCTGGCAGCCCCCAGGGCACTTTTAATTAAAAAAACAAAAAACTGAAAACTAATTTTTAAGAAGGGAGGGAGGGGTGGGGAGAGGAGAGGACTTGTCATCTCTCTGCTAACCCTTTGTTTTGCCAGGCCTGGCAAAACCAGGTGGCAAAATTCCATCAAAAATCATGGACAGGGTGCTCTGGGCTGCCTCTGCCCGCTCCCTTCTCCCTGTCCCTCTGTCCCCTCTGTCCCTGTCCCTCCTGCCCGCTGCCTTCTCCTTACTCAGCAGCAGCATCCCCCCGGCCCATCCATCATCCCGGATTAGCCATTAGTA